CATAGCTTTTTTTTACCAAATTTTTCCCTATTCTTTTCGGAACATATGAAATGAAACTTGGGTACATACACACATATGTAAGTTTGAAGTCATTCACACGCTAAACGGTATAGATCAAAATATCGAGGTGGAGTAGAATGTGAATAAAATTAATAATACTATGTGCTATGAAAAAGATGCATAACTAAATGACACAGAGTTATGTGAAACTGAATATTTTGTCCATCTAAACGATTTTGCCCTTCAATATAGACACAATTTTCCAATAACCGTACTTACTCTACTACTTCTATCTTTAAAAACATTTTTTTGCAAAATCATTCCAAGTGAGAACAGATCTATATTTTTCATGTCATCAACTTGTACAGGGTATCTTCCACAATAGCAGAGAGCGAGGCTCTCCATATATGAATACGAGGGCAATAATCACTACAATTACTTTGACCAATCGCCTTCCGAACAAAAATAGTTGAGGTGAGTGCAATTTTTCGTTTCAGTATCGAATAAACTACTAGTGAACACTTCCAAAGACTTACCCTAGCTCTATCTTCACTATTATATTCATCACCACCCCCATCACTTACTAGGAATTCGTGGCGACGATACGCTAAATCTGGATATTTTTTTCGTCTAGGCATTGCAGGTTCCAGCTTAGGGACTGAAAGAAATAACAACGGTTACAAAAAAAGACCGTTAACTATATTGATTTCCGCATAGGAAATGTGAATCTTCTCTTGCGTCACTCAATCACGAACATTTCGTTAACCAATGAACGTAATGAGTAGGTGAGAATTGCATTACTTCATCAACACTTACGTGTGTCGGTCTGAAAGTCTTCATCGTTAGTCCTGGAGGCGTGAACATCACTGAATTTTTCAGCGACATTAGTCTGGGGTGGTCTTCTCACAACTTCTTGTCTCGGCCCCGTATACTCGTGCCATCGATACGTGCTCCGGTACTCGGAGTGAAGCTGGAAATGAGCAATAGACTTTTTTTTCAAGAAAACATAAAAATCAACTACAATTATGAGACCTTTACAAATTGAAATCAATAAAAGCCACAACAGTCACTCTCACAGTGCTAAGTGTCATTATGTGATACCTTGAGAACACGGCTGTGTGGTTGGGCTCAGCTTCATTGTTGTTTTTTCAAGTGTATTGTCTGAACATTTCTGATTTACTGAAACAAACTGCAACCTTCGGAATATTTATTATAATATAATAAGAATGTCAGTATTTTCTGATACATTTCTTACAGCTTCTACCATCGTCCATGGTCTTTATTTGAGAGACATATATTCAGAATGTGTCTTCGTAAATCTTTGACTATCGACTGCGCACGAGATTTGTTCACTGTCTTTTTCTGCAGCTTTCATTGCAAGGCAAATAATGAAAAGCAAAGCCCAATAACGAATTCAAAAACGTTTCATTGGTCGAAATCTGCCTCGTTCTATAAAACTGAAACAATCAATAATTCATAACTTGCGGTTTTTCTTCTCAATTTTGAGACGTTGAGTTCACCGTCATAACCTCTTCCTCAAATGAAAATTATGCAAAGTCCCAGAAAAGTAAAAAGAAACCAAACTCTTTTCTATTGAAAAATTGCTAATATCCGTCAATTCTTGGAATACTTTCTCTGATTTCATTTGTTTTCAGAAGTAGTGATATTGGCCAATACATTGAGAAAGTTCTTGCTGAAACTTGGTTGTATAATTTTTTTTAAAGAAAATCCTTTTTTTTTTCAGCAATAATATACCAAAAGTTGATTGTTTGCCATATGGGACATTCGTAACTTAATATTACTGGAGTTTCATCCCAACACCAAACCATTATTTTCAACACCTCGACACGTGTTTCAATCACCGAGTGATGATCTTAAAGAGAAATATTAAACTTCCCCTTGAAGAAGATCACTCGGTTCTTGAAACAATAAAACTAAATAGAAAATGAATCAAACTAAAACGACTTCCAAACAACAAATGAAACTCAAAACTGGAGAACACAAACATCAACTAAAAATCCAAAACAAGCACTGTACCCAAACACCAGAACTATTGGGAACCGTGCTTGTTTTGAATTCATTCTAGTCCAGAGGTTTCAGTTCTACCTTCAATCGATTAGTAGCCATTTGCAAAAAACACGTGTTTCAAATGAAAATCGATCGATTCAGGAAAAAACAAATTAATCGTAACCAAATTTATCCTATCACATTTTCGTTTCCCTGTGGATTTTTACTTGACCAACTTCCAATTTGCTGGTAGAAATGGTTGATCTACCGTCCTGTGGACTGTATTGATGATTCTTAAAGAAATTGAGGAGATGTTTTCTGGCTGAACTTTGCTCATCTGCTCATCTGATCTGATACATTTTTGACCCAAAAAGTACGATTTGCTGACTACCAACAGCAAAACAGGATTTCTATTGCTTCGAACAATGATATGTAATGCTTTGAAGACAATTTTAGTTTGCGTTTGCGAAACATCTGATATATTTGTCAAATAAAGTTTGTGGAGATCAAATCGTGAGGTGTAGTTTTTGAAATTATAGATTGATTCGTTCATGTATTATTACGTTTTGACCTTAATGAGGTTATAACTTTGAATAGGCATTTTTTAATGTCTATGATTTTGCCCAGTAAAGTGGAAATTGGTTCGAGAAAATCTACATAGATACTACTTTGTGACAGGATAACTTTGATACATAAGACGTGGTGTTGCAGGAGAATAAATCATTATAGGTTCTTCACGTTGTTCTTTCTATTTCAATGTTACTGAAACTGGAATAAGTTTCTTGTTGAGTCACAAAACTCAAAATATTATTGAAGGAAGGGATATAATGAAACTATTAAGGTGAACTTATGAAGGTTAACAGAAGAAAATGGGTAGGACCGATAGTATTCAAGTCTAATGTTAACTTACTCACTTCATAGTGTTATATTCAATGAAGTAAAACAGGCATTATCCAATCAGGTGAACAAATTGCAATTGTGAAACTTAGCCGTACTGAAGGTTATGCGATACATAATTTCGAACTTGGTCCTAATCAATTCAGGGTGAGACATTCATGAGAAAACGTTATCACACTAATTTATCAAGAAAGTTCCTGAACCAGTAGAAAAAAGAAGTTGAAGAGTATCTCACGGTTAATTCTCAACTCAATCATACTCATCAGAGTTATATCATAACGCATTAAAATTTCATAACACCTAACAAGATTCGATTTGGATACAGAGTAGTTGTTCAAGTCCGGTATCGACCTTCAATGATGCAACATGACCTTGAACGGCGTGACTTCGGTGACGTCACACGACCTTGGGTTGCGCCCTTGAAAATTAAGTTTTACTTTGCTGTCCTGTGTCCTTGAAAAATTAGTTAGGCTTCGGAAATTCAGTTTAATCTTGATATTTTGTGTGTGTGTGTGTGTGTGTGTGTGCTTCCATACGACGTGTGCAGATGGTTGACGCAGCGAGGACAAAGCGGTGCAAATATGTATTGCAGTACTGCTTTCGATACTTTGACATCTAGGTATACACAATTCGATGCACTCATGCTTCGTAGTTGTAGAAGTTGTCGAAAGCGGCGGTTGCGATGACTTTACTTGGCACGTGTGTAAACAAATGCTGATGGTATATAAATAGCTGTGCACCCAAGGTCCATTGAGTTTTTTTTCTCATAGGTCTTTTTGTGTATGCAATTCCTTTCTTGGGTTGTGCCTTCGCACATACCTCCCAATATGATGACAACGACAACACAGCTTTTTGGGTGATTCAAAGTCTCATTTTTGAGTATAGTATGTGTAAACCAAGTCATCTCACTTATGGAAGTTATTCAATACCATTATGATGTCATAATGCTCCAATGACATTGAATACCAGGCAACAAGAGCATGTTTGAATGGTGCTGCTGCTGTTGTTGTTCCGAATTCCGGAGGAAAATTTGAAGTTGTAAATGGAAAAGAGTGATAAAGTGAAGCGATACAAAACTATATTGATGAGGAATTCTGACTCGATTTCATAACGAATGTTTGGAATACAAACTGAATAAAGAAAAGTGTTTTTTGTATAATTCATAGTTCATATGAAAGTATTTTCCTTTCGTGTTATTCAATGTTTATATGTAAGTAGTTGTTTTGGGAGGGCTCTCTTTCCAGTTTTTGTCTGGAAACTACTTCTTCGCTTGGTGTACACTCGTTTGTATGGAGTTACATTTTTTAAATTGGTTGCTTCCATCCTTTCTTTGGAAGATTCCCATATTTTTTCTGTATCAAGATGGATGAGTAGAAAGCCAAAATATAAAAAAATTAACCTCTCCTAAGAATATAGCTCTTTCAATTCAAACAAGATTCCTTTGGCTGGGATTTAATCAAATAAGCGAATGAATATCATTATGATATCACCGATGACATGAGTAGATCAAACTCATTCCGTGACATGAGGTCGTAAGTTTATGAATGAATTGTGCATTTTTTCTTATGATGTTATCCAGATTTGGTACTGAAGAGCTGATAATGCAAATGTCTTACGGCATAACATCGGATGTCTACCAGTGAGGATGACACTACAGTGTTTCATGTAAGTGAAACTTCACCTCTTCCATTTACTATATTGTGAGGAAAAATCCTGTGAATAATATCTATCCAATTCCATAGGGAAAACAAACTGAATAGAGAAAAGTGTTTTTCCTATAATTCGATGATCATATAAAAGTATTTGTGTCGAAAGTATTTTTCTTTCGTGTGATTCGATGTTTATATACAAGTAGCTGTTTTGAGAGGGGATAATTAATTGTGGGACTGCTTTGCTTAGTTAGACGAGTAGGACTTTCTACATGCATCTCAAGGTTGAATGATCCTAATGAGTTACTCAGCGTCTGGGTATCTGTGAAGTTTATGTTGAAGTCTCCTATGAGTATAATGGTTGATTTGATGGGCAGTTCGTTTAGCAAACAGTCTAGTTGAATAAGAAAGGTACTTATATCTGTTATGGGTGACCGATAGACACATAATATATAAATAATAATGTTTTCCAATACATTTTCAAAAATTCAGATAATTTCTCTTGTTGCAAATGATTCACTTCGTTAAACTTTTCAAATCCCAACTGTTGCCTAACAGTTTTTCAAGAGGATCATTGTTCGTACATTGGATGAAGTTGATCTTCAATATTTCGACAGAACTGTATAATTATTTGTAAAGACTGTTTCATCACATTTCAGCCAATGCTCGGTCAACAATAAAATATCGGGAAATTTAGAGTCTGCTAGATATCCAGTTCCGTAGATTAGGGATACTTCGATCAATTTTTCACTTCAAAGTAATAGAAATGTTATTCTTTTATGCGGAAAGATGAAAGAAAAAAATGAAACATCGGTTTTTACTTACTTTCAGATTCTGCAAAAATGATAGGAAGATAAGCAGAACATTCGGAGAAAAAAAATAAAAACCACGTGATCAAAGGTATACTGATTTCGGGGATACTTTGATCACTCTCGATTTTTCAACGGAATATGAAAGTATACCCTTTCAAACGACCCGAAGAAATTTAAAAAAAATTTAAAAAACCTTTTTATATTCCGTGTTAGGAATCACACGTTAAAAGGTAAGACCTCGTTAGTCCTTAGCTCGCACAAGTTTCTCAACTTCTGAGAGTTGACGTTCGTATGGGGGCGACAGCTGTTTAACGGAAAAACAGATTTTAAACAGATTCTGCGAACTCATTTGTTATCCGGGGTAACTTTGATCACAGAAAAACTAGTTTTTTCGCAGTCATATTCCGAACTTCTATAATTTTGCATACATATTTGTAAGTTTTCTTCCCTCGGTGGGAGGAAAACCTTGCCAAAATATATTGCTCAACAGCATATGTATCTGTTTGTGCAATGTTACTTTCGTCCTCAACAGCTGCCGTGGATTTGACAGAATCAGGTCGGTCTCGGGTTTCGACTGACGTTGAGAGTGGTTGATCGTCGTCATT